CCACCACGTGTCGGTGATGGGACACCTGTCCTCCCCCACCACTGAGCTGTACCACCTGCACACAGGGGGGGAAGGGCGGGGAGGACGGGGAGGAGGGGGGAAGAGGGTGAGAGGCGGGGGCGTGTTGAGATGTGTGAGGCAGATGAGATGACAGGCTTAGTTAAGTGTTGGACATGTACATGGCTCTGGATGTGCGTGTTGGCACATGGCACATGGCACATGGCACATGGCACATGGCATTACCGAGAGTGATGAGCATTGGCAGCGGCAGCAGGGGCGGGGTACTCACTTCCATGCAGACGGGTTGATGGGCTCGCCCACGCTGCCCAGCACTCGCAGCGACGCGCGCTTTGATGCCTCCACCCACTGCTCTCACACACGCATGTACGCACACACGTGGCATGGGAGAGAGGAGGTTAGGAGGTGGGTGGCAGCAGGAAGGTGTGACGGTAGGGAAGAGACTTGGAGTGGGAAGGAATGTGGGCGATGCACGCACATGAATGCATAGTCCACGTGTTTGGCTCAGCAGCCGCACACTGCTCAACCACAACCCCAGTGTGCGCCCCCCATGCACCTCTATGCGCCCCCATGCGCCCCCCATGCGCCCCCCATGCGCCCCCCATGCGCCCCCCATGCGCCCCCCATGCGCCCGCGCCTCCCACACTCCCCCCCCCCCCCTATGCCCCCGTGTGCGCGCACCTGATCACCGGAGCGCATGGCGGCGCGGATGGCGGTGGGCGCGGTGTAGAAGAGCGACACGGCGTAGCGGTCCACTATGCGCCACCACCGCCCCCAGTCGGGGTAGTTGGGCACCCCCTCGAATAGCACCTGCCCAGGGCCAGGGACGTTGGGACGCCACCACAAGTGGGGGAGGCGGGGGCGCGGGGTGGTGGATGGGCGGGAACAGATGGTTGAGAGGTCAAGCATGGAGAGCAGCGAGGATGAGGCACGGTGTGTGGATGGTGGAATGGTGTGGGGATGGCGGCACGGTGTGTGGATGGCGGCTCTGCTTGTGGAAGGGAGAGAGATGGAGAGGTGTGGGAGTGGTGGAAGGCAAGCAAGCAGTGTAGGCAGCGCCAGGAAGCATGAAAGGGTGGCGCAGAGCCACACGCACCTGCGAGGCGCCGTTGAGCAGCGGGCCGTAGGCGACGTAGCTGTGGCCGGTGATCCACCCGCAGTCCGCTGTGCACCAGTACACGTCAGTGGGCTTCCAGTCAAACGCGTGCTTGAAGGTCGTTGCTGTGTACACCATGTAGCCGCCCGTCGTGTGCACCACTCCCTGGTGGAGGCGCCCGGGGGAGCATGGGGGGGAGGACAGGAAGGATGAGGTAAGGGGAGAAGGAAAGGAAGGGTGTGGTTGACGGGGTGACGGGGTTTTGAAAGCGGTTCGATTGAATCATGCTGCTCACGCTACTCAGCTTCTCCCCCGTTGTCCCTCACTGTTCGTTAAAACCACGGCCCCATGCACGCACGCACCTTGGGGCGGCCCGTGGATCCCGAGGTGTAGAGCAGGAAGAGCGGGTCCTCCGCGTCCATCCACTCCACGTCATCACTGCCCGGCGCCACGTCAGCGTGGCCAATGACGTCCTGCCACCACACGTCGCGGCCCTCCACCATGTTGACCGCGTCTCGCGCCATGGCGGGCGGATTGTCCGCCACCACCACGCGCGCCACTGCACCGACAGAGGAAGGGTCGGAACGGGATGGGATGGGATGGAACAAGAGTGGGGGAGGGGATGGGAGGGGAGGAGTTGAGAGGAAGGGTCGCACACCCGGCGGGGGGGATGAGGGAACGAGAGAAACGCGAGAGGCGAGGGGGACAATGGGAGAAGGGCGGGAAGGAAGGGCGCGGTACCGTGAAGGTCGGGGGAGAGCGCAATGGCGGCGTCCGCTATTTCCTTGAGCTTGATGGGCTTCGAGCCGCGCATCGTGCCGGAACACGTCAGCAGCACCCGCGACTCGCAGTCCTGCATGCGCTGCGCGAGCGACTCGGCGGAGAAGCCGCCGAAGACGACGGAGTGGACGGCGCCGATGCGCGCGCAGGCGAGCATGGCGACGGGCAGCTCGAGCACCATGGGCATGTAGATCGTCACGTAGTCGCCGCGCTTCACGCCTTGCGACCGCAGATACGCCGCCGTCTGCTTCACGCGCTCCAGCAGCTCCGCGTACGTCAGCGTGACGGAATCCGTCTCGTTGTTGCCCTCCCAGAAGAACGCGACGCGGTGCCCCTGCCCCTGCTCCACCCAACGGTCGACGGCGTTGTAACAGATGTTGGTCGAGCCGCCTTTGAACCACTCCACGTTCACGCGCCCGCGTCGCACGTCCAGGTTCTCTGAATGCACCTTGCCGTCGGGCGACACGGGGAAGGGCGTGCGCCAAAAGAACTGCCGCGCCAGGTCCGCCCAGAACGCGTCGGGATCCTCAATGGAGCGCCGGTACATCTCCTCGTACTGTAACGGGACATGACACAGGCCGGCATAACAGGAGGAACAATAAGTGGCACCACAATTTTCTCGTCTCCTCCACAATTTCCGGAGTTACATGCTCGAATCGTCTCTCACACAATGCCATCGCCCACCAGAAACAATCCCGTCATCGACGAGCGACGAGCGACGAGCGACGACACGAGCCACATCAACGTCGCTCGCGATGTCACAACAACAAGTGTGGCACGTGCTTGTTCGAGTGCCCCCGCCACCCAATTCTCACCTGCGCCTTATCCTTCACGAGCGCCTGCGCGCGGAACTCCGCAGACGCCGTCACCTCCTCCCCCGCCTCGTGCGCCACCGCAATCTCCTCCGACGGCTTCGTCGCGGGCCTCACGTCCGCCAGCGCCGCGCGCGCCGGCGGAAGCCGCATCCTTCTGGCGCCGGCAGAATGGTTGCCCTTTTTCAACCGCGCTGCTGCCTTGCGGAGGCGACGCAAGACCGTCGCGTCATTCCCTAAGAACGCACTGCGAGCCGACGACGGAGCTTCAACGGCGACGGGCCTTCTGACTGCCGCGAGCGGCTGCCGTGCGGCAACGCGAGCAGGGACGGAACACGCCATCGTGAACTCTTGTCCTCAGGATGCAACGTGGGCAACAGGACGGCAACTCTAAGCGTACGAGGATACAGTTGAGTCGAGTGTCGCGCTTGAAGAGAATGGGCACCTGTTGCTTCCAAACGGAGGATGAAGCTGCAGAAGGTGCGAGGGAGATAAGATGCGTAATATGATAGAAGGGTCGTGCTGCTATATGCTGCTCGAGGTAGAAAGAGTCGAGGAACATTGGCGCCCAACCAAGGGCGATGAGGAAGTGGGAGTCGGACGCGAAACGCGATTCCGTAACCTGGTAACGGCGTGGTGTCGTCTAATCTAATTCAGAAAAGATTCACTCGACCAATCACAGAAGACACAGCTGGAGAACGGTTGTGGCTCTACGCAATTGACGGGTGACACGCGCGTCGCGAAAGAGCATCATCAGTTTGGCCGTCAGAACGTTGATTTGGAGCAGTTCGTGTGAGCTGGTGTGGAGGTTTACGACTTTCCGCCGAATTGCTAGAAGGAATGCTGCTGTTTATCCAGACACGTGGGAAGAGTCCAACTTCGGCGAAGCTTATTAGAGATTTCGAGTGGTCCCACAAATATCCTCGTTTAACACAAGTGTAATACCTGATCAGTTTGTAACCATGCGATTACGAAGCTACGTATGATCCCCATAAATAGATCGAATGAAAACCAGACACAGAGTTTACGCGGTAAGGCAAAAGACCTCAAAATTTCCCCCCCGATACAAGAAGCATTTTTGTCTGGAAGCTTGTCGGTGACACGTCAGATATCGCTGTACGATTACAACCATCACCGAAAACCTTATACACAGAGAGCCAATCACAATCGCGTTTTGTTTGGTAGGGGCACTTGTTTGCCGAGTCAACCAGCTAGATGTGCAGATGGAGCAAGGGGAACGAAATGCGGAGTTCCTACGAGCCAGATATCGCTGTACGGTTACAACCATCACCGAAAACCTTATACACAGAGAGCCAATCACAATCGCGTTTTGTTTGGTAGGGGCACTTGTTTGCCGAGTCAACCAGCTAGATGTGCAGATGGAGCAAGGGGAACGAAACAGCTAACAAACCCATGGCGAGTGGAGGAGAGCACCCGCGCACAGCTGCGAGGAAAATTTGGTCGCTTTTTTTTTTTTCCGCTTGTCCCCCCATCAACGGCATTTCCCCGCTGCCCCCAAACCGAACCACCCAGCCCAACCAGACCGAACCCAAGCCTCTTGCGGCGCACGAGTGAGCGGACCGTCGGATTGAACAGCATGGCGCGGAAGGAGCGGAGCCGCACGGAAGGGTCGAGCGAGGTGGGCGCACAGCAGAAGGAGCGCATCGTCCGTCCACACGACATGAGTCGGCATGGCAGCATCAGTTGTGGCAGTTGCGGCCAGGCACGCGCTTCTTCTCGACTTAGCCGCCTCCCAGTTTTCTTGCTGTTTCCAGCTTACCTCCACACACCCTCAACTTGCTCCTCGAGGCGAAGCTAATCCGTGGCCAGCCTTGTTCAGTGTTACCTCCCTCCTCCTGGCTTAGCGCTGTTCCGCTGCACATCCCTGAACCCCCTTTTTTTTTTTGGGGGTTATTCGCTCCGCGCATCACGCCGATCGCCACCACAGAAGAGCACTAATCAGCCGTGCTGTACCCCCCACTGTGTCGCGCGCTGCCATCGTAACGAAGTGTTTCGACGCTTCCAACTCGACGCGCTGTCTCGGCGCGCAGCGCAGCAACCTCTTCTTTCCTCTCATCGCGACTCCACCCCCGCCGAAAGAATTGCATGCGAGCAGCGCAAATACCATCGCAATGTCGTTCCATAGTAGACGCTCCGCTTCTTCGCGCCACGAACTGCTGCCTCTCCTCCTGCTCGTTCTGCCCTTCATATGCCACGTCAGCGCGCAGACCAGCGCAAAAACGTACCCGCTATGCCCATTCACGCAGCAGCCGCCGGCGAAGCCGAACGTGACGATGGCGCGGTGCGTGGACGCGTCGGAGCGCGCGTGCTGCGCGGACTGCAGCGACACGAGCAACGCGCTGCACGGCATCACGGCGAATCAGACCGTTGTGCTGCAGATGCTCAAACCCGAGATCGTCGCCATCATCGGCAACAAGGACGTGCAGGTGACTAAAACGAGGGCGTACAGGTGACTATAACGCGGCTGATCAGCTCGCCATAGCGCGCGTTTGCTGGTGACTGTAGCGAGGGTGTGCAGGTAGCACTTGGGTCGAGCACGGACTATCTGCAAGGGTTAATCAGGAATATCGCTATAAAGCGCATTCTTTACCCATTTGCTCCCCCATTTCACGGTTCCCCCTGTGCATCTGATACCCGCGCGTGTGCGTGTGCGCGCGGGGGGGCGGGCGCGCGGCAGCAATGCGCGATGTTCGTGGGGTTCGACGCGTGCAGCTACGACCTGGAGCAGCTCTACTGCGCCATCACCTGCAACCCCGGTCAGCCCATGCCCTGCCCATGCCCATGCCCATGCCCATTCCCCTGCGTGCCCATTCCCATTCCCATGCCTACGCCCATACCCATGCTCATGCGCGTTGCTGTGCCCATAACCATAACCATTATCATATCCATGCCATGCCCTTCCCTGCGCCCCGGACCACCCGCCATCTCACACTCGTCCTCCTCCCCATCCCCCACACCGCGTCACCCTCTCTCCGTGTCTCCACGGCACCAGACGGCGGCACGTATGTGAAGGCGTCGACAGCGACCACTGGCGTGCTGACGGTGTGCGATGCGTACGCCACCCAGGTCTACGCCGACTGCGAAAACGTGCCCAGTGCGTGGGGGGTGGAGCGGGGGGAGGGGCGGTGAAGGAAGGGAGGAGGGGAGGTGTGGAAGTTGGCCAGTGGCAAAGAGGGGAAGGACTGAGGATGGGAGGAGATGGAGGGCAGGTGAAGGGCAAGAGTTGGAGTGGTGTGAGTGAGAAGGGGTGCATGGTGCATCCAGAGAGGCATTGGGGGATCTGGCTTCGAGGCAGCTCATGTGAGGTGCATGGTTTTATGGGTGCATGGTTTTATGGGTGCATGGTTGTATGGGTGCATGATTGCATGGTTACATGGGTGCATGGGTGTATGGTTGCATGGGTGCATGGGTGCATGGGTGCATGGGTGCATGGGTGCATGAGTGTATGGGTGTATGGGTGTATGGGTGTATGGGTGTATGAGTGCATGAGTGCACGTGATTGCATGATTTGTGCATAGGAGCACGGTTGAATGGATGTATGGGTACATGGGTGTGTAACTGCATGGCTGCATGGGTGCAAGGATGCATGGTTGCAGGTGTGCATAAATGCAGGTGTGCATTGCGTGGGTGCATGGGTGCATGGAAGCATCAGTGCATGGGTGCAAGGATGCAAGGATGCATGTATGCAGGTGTGCATTAATGCTGGTGTGCATGGGCGCATAAGCGCATGGGCACATGGGTGCATCCATGGGCTCGCAGTGTCCTCCTCAACTCCTCTCCTTGTGGTGTTGCATGATGGGGAACCGCATTGTGGTATTGCCCCCATGAAACGGTGTGATGGCACGGGCATGGATGGTATGGCATGGCACGGGCGTGAATGGCATGGCATGGCATGGGCATGGCAGTGATGGGGCAGGCGATGCTGGGCAGTCTGTTGAGCAACAAGGAGATTTTCATCAAGCTCGTCTTCGGCATGCTCTTTGCCCGCTTCAGCGGCATCAACGTCACCGTCAACGTCGCCCAGGTACCCACCACAACCACTTCCCACCACACCACACTCCACTCTCGATACAACAACCTTTCTCCCATTTTCTCTTCACTGTGGCCGGGTTTCCAGCGCAAGCAAAGCCATGACAAAGCACCGCTGTGACCATGTCATGCCATGCAGGGGACATCGTCGTGTTACAACGGGCCCACCAATCCGCTACCTCCGAAGCCAGTGTGCTGCGATCCCTTCACCAACACCCCCGGCTGTTCCTTCAAGGACGATTCTCTCTTGGCCCCCTATGTTGGTCGCCCCATCAACCCCAACGCGTGTGCCGCATACATGAATGGCACGGGTGCCGGCACGGCAGCAAATGGTGCTTCCACGTCAGCATCGTCGTCTTCAGGCTCGTCTGGCAGCAGCAGCAGCAGCTCGCCCTCCAAGGGTGCACCAAAGACTGCATTGGACAGTGTATTCATGTTTGTGCAGACCTTGGTTTTTGTGGCGTTCTCCATGTTGTTTTGGTAACGCCCCTAGAGCTCCCTAATCAAGTCTTCACATCACATGATATTTTTTTTAACCCTGAAATGAAAGCAGCCATTCGGAGTACAGTTTCTCTTCCAGAAACCTTCAATCGGGGCAATCCCAACCCAATTTCTCCACCGCCCCGTTGCGTTGAGATATTCCAAGCCCTTCCCTGCTCCTCGCACTGCCGCAGATGGCAGGACTTTAGTTGCGTAGTAGCGTAGCAGCCGCTGCAGCGCCGATTCGCGCTGAATCGCAATGGCGAAAAAGAAAGGCATCGCGCGTGCGCAAGGTGTGCGCGCAGAGAGCAGTCCGCGCATGGAGACAAGTGCGCGCGGATGTCGTAGAAGTGATGGCGAGGATGCGGAGGGGCCGCAGCCTTCCTCAAAGGAGGGTGTTGAGAGAGTCGCGGAGGAGAAAGGGCGCGGAGAAGAGCGCGTGGGGACGGTGACGCAGATGAGGATTACTTGGTGCTCAGCGAAGTCCACGTGGCATGCCCCTCGCACCACGTCAGCACCGTTACCACCTTCGCCTTCCGCCTGCCCCCTGAGTTGGCCGCGGGATGGGCGCTACGCGGGGAGGAGGCGAGGAATGCGGAGAGGCGGGAGGGGTCGGAAGTCGAAGAACGGAGTGGCGCGGCGGAAAGCAGTGAGGGGATAGCAGGGGAGCGGGAGGGGCCTGGCGGGGCGGAAGGAGCGCGAGTGGCGGTGGATGCGGACGGCGATCTGCTGGTGGCGCGGCGCAAGAGGCGGCGAACAGTTGGTAATGGAGGCGAATGTTATGGCGCTGATGCTGCTGCTGCTGCTGCTGCTGCTGGCCCGGGTGTGGATGGTGGTGGGCAGAGAGGTGAGGGCGGATAAACGGGGCAGTCGCGGGTGGGCGATGGGGGCGAAAGAGGGTTGGGGTGGTGGTTGTTGCTGTTGGGAAGAAGACCGCTTCCAGTGAGCCACGTGCTGTCGTCGCATGGCATGGCATGGCATGGCATGGCATGGCATGGCATGGCATGGCATGGCATGGCATGGCATGGCATGGCATGGCATGGCATGGCATGGCATGGCATGGCATGGCATGGCATGGCATGGCTGACCGTGCGGCCACTCTCCCCGCCCCCCTTGCCTGTTTGCCTCCCCTCTTCTGCTCACAGGGCAGGCCGTGCCGCGCAGGCGCCAGCAACAGCGGTGCCACGTTGCAGAGCAGTGCAGGCGGGTTCAGGGGAGGATGAAAGCGAAGACGGGGAGGAGGGCGGTGAGAGGGGGGAAGGGGAGGGGGGCGTAGAGGATGTGGAAGGAGGGGGAGTGGAAGGAGGGGGGGAAGAAGGAGAGGGAGAAAAAGGAGGGGAAGAAGGCGGGGGAGGGGGAGGCTGGGTGAGGGTGGTGATCCGGCACAGCATGAAGACCACCATCGCCCGTGTGGGCATGCAGGTAGGCCATGCAGGTACGCCATGCAGGTAGGCCATGCAGGTACGCCATGCAGGTAGGCCATGCAGGTACGCCATGCAGGTGGGGCGTCGCGCTGCCCTGTTGTCACCCGAATTCATCCACCTCACCTCACGCACATATTCACCAAAGCCCTCTTCTCTCGCGCCCTGCCCTCCACCCCCTGCTGTCCCTCACACCTCCCTTGTGCTTGCCCCATCACCTCCCTTGTGCTTGCCCCATCACCCCTCTCTCTTACTCTTGCATTCTCTTCCCGTCTTTCCCCTCTTCTGTTCCTCAATCCCCGTTGCCCCCCCACTAGGTGTGGCGCGCAGCACTACTGCTGGCGGACGTGATGGTGGCGAACCACCGCGTGCTGGGGGGCGACACTCTCACCCCCGCCTTCCCTCCCCCCCATCCCCCACTCGCCCCCTGCCAGGTGTGGCGCGCATCACTGCTGCTGGCGGACGTCATGGTGGCCAATCACCGCCTGCTGGGGGGCGCCACTGTGCTCGAGCTGGGGGCTGGCGCAGGTGGGGCAGGGCGCAGGTGGGGCAGGGCGCAGGTGGGGCAGGGGGGAGCCATGGCGCTTTGTGCATGTATGTAAGCGAGAAACTGGTTCCAGGCGCATATTTTCTGCGCCCCCGCTTGCCACACAACCACCAGCCTTACCTCCCCTCTGCCCTCCTCTGCCCTGCTCTGCCCTGCCCTGCCCTACCCTGGTTTGCTGTGCATGCATGCGGGCAGGGCTGGCGGGCATCACAGCGGCACACTTCGCCAGCCGTGTCATCCTCACAGGTACCACCTTCCCTCTCTCCACTCCCCTTCTCCGTCTCCCCCCTGCCTCGCCTCTTCGCCGTCTCCCCTCCTGTCATATCTCCCCCGCCCTCACACGTGTCGTGTCCGCTGTCGTCAAGCTCTCTGCTTCCTGCCCTGCATCCGCCCGCCCACACCGCCATCACCTTGCGGCCCTCCAGATGCAGGGGATGCTGTGCTCAGGAACTGTGCTGCCAACGCTGCTGAGCCTGCCAACACAGCCAGTGCTTGCAATGCTTTCAGTGCCCCCACGGGTCGCTCCCAGCACCACCGCATTCACGTGCCAGCAGCGGTGGTTCGCCACCTTGACTGGCGCCACGGCTGGCCCCCTCCCGTGGTAACCAGCGCCTCTGGGCTCCACCAATCAGCGGCCAGGTCTGGCAGCAGCAGCGCACCAGGGAGGGTAGCAGGCAGGGAAGGAGGTGAGGAGACTGAGAGGGATGGAGCAGCAGACCCATTAGGAGGAGCAGATTCGTTTGGGTGGACGGAGGAGGATGTGAGTGACGCCAGCAATGCCACGGTGCTGCTGGCTGCTGACGTCATCTACAGTGATGACATCACGTGTGCCTTCTTCACCACCCTTCGCTCCCTCCTGTGCTGCGGCCCTCCCAAGGTGCGCTGCGGCCCTCCCAAGGTGCGCTGCGGCCCTCCCAAGGTGTGCTGCGGCCCTCCCAAGGTGCCTCCACTGTACCTCTCTCTCACTCCTTCCCTCAGTCTAGTAACTGCCATTCCCACTATAGTCCTTGCTGAGCTGTCCATGTTTCCTCCTCACCAGTTGCCCCTCAGGATTCACAAATTGAGATTTGATTGAAAGGTGATACAGCTGTCCCTTACTGCTCCCCTTCCTGCTTCGTGTCATGGCCCCATTCTCACCAACCGCCCATTCTATACCCACCGCGTCCTCTCAACCTCTCCTTTCCCTCCCTACCTGTATCTCCGTACACCCACGTCTCCCCCAACCAGCTGCTGCTGTTGGCGCTGGAGAAGCGCTTCAACTTCTCCCTCTCCCACCTGGCCCCCGTTGCCAATGGCTACACCGCCTTCCGCTCCCACTTCACTGCCCAAAACGGTGCTCCCAGCTGCTACAGTGGCGCCCACTGTAGCAGCGGGCAGCAGGCAGCACCGCCAGGAGAGCCTAGCTGCAGGCGGGATGAGGACGAGGATGGTGGGCAGCAAACAGGGGTGGATGGGCGGCAGACAGGGGTGGATGGGCGGCAGACGGGTGGATGGGCGGCAGACAGGGGTGGATGGGCGGCAGACAGGGGTGGATGGGCGGCAGACAGGGGTGGATGGGCGGCAGACAGGGGTGGATGGGCGGCAGACAGGGGTGGATGGGCGGCAGACAGGGGTGGATGGGCGGCAGACAGGGGTGGATGGGCGGCAGACAGGGGTGGATGGGCGGCAGAGAGGGGTGGATGGGCGGCAGACAGGGGTGGATGGGCGGCAGAGAGGGGTGGATGGGCGGCAGACAGGGGTGGATGGGCGGCAGAGAGAGGGGGGTGGAGACAGGGATGGGGATGATGGGAACAGGGAGGGGGAAGAGGGGGAGGAGCTGTTGGGGTGGAGCATGGACGTGGGGCAGGTACCGCAGCACGTGGTGGGGTGGGAGAGGGGCAGCGACTTGGAGCTCTGGATCATTGGCTCCCAGTTGGAGCTCTGGATCATTGGCTCCCAGCGGTCCCTGCCGCTGGTGTGTGCTTGGATGAAGAGGGGCGTTGGGCTGTTCCCCTGCGAGGGGGGAGGGGAGGAGCTGTGCTCCCCTGCTTTTGAAGCCTTACAGGCAAATGCCTGGGTCACGTAAATTTCTTGGTGTCTCACAGTGCTTTCACATGGGAATGCAGCCCAAGAGGGCTTTGTGTCCTGCAGTTGCGTGGTGCAATGATGGCTTGCATTCATCACCACGTTGCTATGACATCCATACACAATCTATGACAGACTGGATCATATATTCAGGGCAGGGCTCCCCATTATGCAATCTCCTGCACTAAAAATGCCTAACAGGTGCAATGGTGCGAAGACCTAACAGGAAAGGCAGCATACAAAAGAAGATGCCACAATTGAGCATCACACTTCCCCCAAGGCTACAACTGAACGCCTCACTGCTGCTCCTCAATACACGAAGGGCACAAACCGCTTCACCCGCTTCATGTACGCCAGGTACCTCTCCCCAAACCGCGCCCTCAGGTGCCTCTCCTCCACGCGGGCCTTGGCGTCATGCACCGCCGCCATGGCGCACGCCGCCAGCAGCCGCGCCGTGCTGCCCGTTATGCACGCCACGGCGGCGGAGAGCAGCACGGCGGCGGCGTACATGGGGTGGCGCACGAAGCGGTACACCCCGCCCGTTTTCAGCCCAGCGCCGTCCGCGCGCGGCTTGGGGAAGGGCGAGAAGCTTCCAGCGAGGTCGTTGAACGACGCGAGGCCGAGATACACGCTCAGCACGAGCAGCGGCACTCCCGCGACGAACGCGCCCTCGCGTATGGATTGAGAGGGGCAGAAGGAGAGCGGCAAGCGGAGCTTGTCTGTTATGAGCCAATCGGGAAGCGGGAAGAAGACGAGAGCGATGGCGAGGAGCTGCAACGGAACCCATAGCTCCCCGCGCGTTCCGAAGGTGCTTTTATCGAATATGTGCGCCCAATAGGCTTGGCGCTTTGGCATGGTGGGCTTATACATCGGCGCGCTGGGAACTGCCGTCTCTGAGCTGTCAGCAGGGCGAGACGCCATGGCTACTCTCCAAAAAGGAAACAGCGCGAGTTATGGATAATGAGGGAAAATCGAATAATGCCGAAAGACCACGCGTGAATGGAAGAATATGCTGCTGCACGCGGTTGGTGACAGAAGAGGGGTTGCTCGAGAGAATTAGCAGTGAGGCTGGTGGTAAATGGCTTGAGTTTGAGTTGAGCGGCAGGAGAATAAAAGACAATGGTGCTGAGGGGGGGGCGCGAATTTCACATCAAACCGCCCTTTGCGCGGTGAAATGTTGTTTCGATCAACATCGAGTCGCCCCAGCACCGCAAAACGCGATGGCGAGAAGAGCTGACTCGGCGCATGCGTTGGTGCATCCCTTATTCGACCACGTGGCATTTCCGGACCTCACCCGAACCTGCTGTCAAAATTTAGTACAGCGAAATTCGGCCCTTGTGGTACACTTTGAACGTCAAACTTTAGGTATCACCGGAAATTGTTTTATCAGCCGAATCATTCACTACAATCACGGATCCTTCCAATTCTTCACGCCAACACCTCAGCCCACCGCAAAGCCCAAGCACAAATCCCTTCCATTTCCTTCGCCGCACGCTCCATGTTAGCGCACTCACCGCGTCTTCCGCTCGGTCAATCGCGACCACTCCGCGATTCTTCCACCGCCAACTCAGATCGACTCTTCCATCCCGTCGCCTATCCGCATCTGAACAAATCCCCTTTCGTTCCATCTCCCGCCGTTCGTTTCGCCACCATGTATCGCGGAGTGGTAACCAGATCGCTGAGCGCGATGGCTCGTAACAGCCGTCGGATCTCGTCCGCGGCACCCTCGAGGCGCCTCCACCATCTTAGGAATCAGAATCTCTTGCCTTGCGCTCCCGAGACCACCCCTGTTTTCGGATCGTGCGGCGGCAAAGGCTTGTTACTGACAGGTTGCAATCGCAGCCGTTGGATCCACCCGTCGTTTGCGGCGCGAGGGTTTGCGACGTCGTCGACCGACGCGGGGCTGCTGAAGGTTCTTAAAGCGGAGCTGGAGCACGAGGAGCAGGACTACGAGCCGCCCGAAGTGAGTTTTTTCGTCTAGTCGGCAGGGCAGCACGCGTGCGACGGTGATGTTGACATAGCGGAGCGCTTACTTCCGAAAATCCTAGGTGCGCAGCGGATCGCGAGCCTGAATTAGGGTTTTCTAGTTGGAATCGCTATACGGCCAGATCCGTCACGGTGCTTTTAGCGATGCCTCTTTCCTCCTCCTCTCCCTCTCATATCTCGCTGGCCACTCCCCCGACGTTTACCCCATCGCCCGAACCCCCCTTCCCCATACCCGCATTCCCCGATCCCCCAGGACCTGAAGGAGGGCCCCCCCGCGGAGTGGACGCTGGAGGAGCAGGCGGGTACCATCGACGCCGTGCTGCGCAGGTCGTACCAGGGGGAGGCAATATCCGTCGTTGCGGCCTTCGCGGACGACGACGAGGCGTATCCGGAGGACGGCGAGGGGGAGAGCGAGGAGGAGGACGAGGAGGAGGGGGAGGGGGAGCGCCTGACGCCGCTGTCTGTGCGCGTGACCGTTGCCAAGAAGGCGGAGCAGCCTGAGCTGGAAATCGACTGTGTGGTGGACGGCAACTCTTGGATTATTCAGGACGTGCGTCTGGAGGACCCTGACGTGCCTGAGGACGGCATTCCCTATGGCGGCCCGCAGTTCTCGTGAGTGCATTCCCTATGGCGGCCCGCAGTTCTCGTGAGTGCATTCCCTATGGCGGCCCGCAGTTCTCGTGAGTGCATTCCCTATGGCGGCCCGCAGTTCTCGTGAGTGCATTCCCTATGGCGGCCCGCAGTTCTCGTGAGTGCATTCCCTATGGCGGCCCGCAGTTCTCGTGAGTGCCTTGCTCTCTTCATCTGCTCCTCCTCTTCCTTCCCTCCTCTATTTTTCACACACCCATTCCCCTCTACGTCCCCCCCCTCTTCACCTCTCCACATTTTTGCATTGTTCCTATGCGCCCACATTCTCAAGCAAACTAGCTGTTCCGCGAATTCTACCCTTCTACTCACTCACCTTCTCCTCCTCCCCAGTCCACCCTGCACGTTATCAAGCCCACCTCTGTTCTCCTCTCTCCTTCCCCCATCCTGCACCGTCCCCTTCCCCACCTCCCCGTCTCCTCACCCCCATTCCTCCCCCTTCTCCCCCACCAGCACATTGGACCCAGTGCTGCAGGAGCAGTTTGACTCATTCCTGCGGCGGAGGGGCATCAGTGCAGGGCTAGCAGCGTACCTGAGGCGGTACCTGGAGGACAAGGAGCAGCGCGAGTACGTGCGCTGGCTCAAGCGCCTCGGGGCCTTCGTCGCTCAAAAGTGATGAAATATGGGGAGAGAGAGAGAGAGGAATGCTTCTGTGCTGAGTCTAATGTACTACCATGTTCCTAGTGCGGTGTGAAGAGTTTGGTTTGGATCTAGGTAAGGGTAAGGGTGTGTGACCTTACGTCACCCTTTGATTCATAGTCCATCCAGCCTAGAGAGTTTCATAACAGTTTTGGGGGTGCACAGTGCACTGTAGGCCAGGTTTATGAAGTCAAATTTCACTCTCGAGTTCATATCCCTAACGCACTCCATACGGTATGTCTAGGGCATTGATCACACACTGTACGTAAACAATTTCTCTATGTGACTAGTGCTGCCACCATAGCCAAGCTGCAGAAATGTAGTGATGGACCCAACGCGGGTAACTAGGAGCAGTACATGCGAGTCTAAGCGTACCCCCACACTGTCCTCCTTAAACTCGCACCCGGTCACTCACTCACGCCCACTCGCCCGCCTCCAGGGGCTTCACCAGCTCCTCACTCCGCCACCCAAGACCCTCCCTCACAAACCCCATCCACTCATCCCCCTCACACCCACTCCCATACCCACTCTCCTCCCCACCCAACTCCCCCTCTTCCCCACCCTCCACTCCGCCCACTCCCCTCTCACCCTCCCCCACGGCCAAATCCCGCTGCACCTCTCCACCAAACTCCCTCTGCAAGTCATCCGAGGCGGCAATGAGAAGCACCTCGCACCCGGGGTGGTCCAGAAATGCAGGGGGGTCCGCGGGGGCAAAGCGCAGCCCGTTGAGGCGGTGCTGCAGTGGCGGGGGGAAGGCCTGCAGGCGCACAGAGGGGCGCGCGAGGTAGGGCGGCCTGCTGGGTGCCAGGGGGTTCTTCACCTGCAGCACGTATGAAGCTTCCCTCTCAATGTTGAACGCCTCCTGTGGACTCTCCTGCTCCTTCTCCTCTTCCCTCTTCTTCTCCTTCTGCTGCTCCCTCTGCTGCTCCTCCGCCTGCTCCTCCTTCACCTGCTCTGCACTCTTGCCTTGGCTACCCTTGCTAATGGCCCCCTTCTCCTTGCCTCCTGCCTGCTCGCCCTCCCCTCCTTCCACCCCCTCTCGCCCTGCTGCCTGCTCCGCCCCGCCCTGTGTCTCGGGCCACCGGAGTGAGTACACCAGGTGGGTGTGGCCCTTCCTGCTGCTGCTGCTGCTGCTGCTGGGCGGCCCCTCGGCCCGTGCCCCCTCTGGCGCCAGGCACGTGGCTCACTATCAAGTACCTGCCCGCTGCTGCTGCCCGCGCTGCTGCCACATGCTGTGTGCCACGTGTCTTGGTCTCATAAGTGTCTACGGGGGTGGGTGGGTGGGTGGGTGGTGGGGTGGGTTGGGAGGGAGGAACACAAGCAAGACAAGCGATACAGATGCATGAAAACGGAAAGCGCTTCTTTCCTTGGAGAAGGAAAGCATCAACCCAGGTAGCACAGGAGCGCTGAGGCCACGAAACAGCAAAGGCATGCGTTGACTGACGCCCACCTACCTCCCTCAAGAGCTGCCCTAATGTCCTTCACGTGGGGTGACACGGCATCCACATAGCCCCAATGCGGTCGTGAGCGGTGCGATGTGGTGGGCAGCAGCTTGCGCCCCACCACCAGAAGGCGCAGAGGGGGCCGTTCGTCCGGCCCCCCTTCCTCCCCCGCCCTCTCCTCTGCCCTGCTACTGCCTCCTGCGCCCCTTGCCACACCCTCTTCCTCCTCCTCCTGCTTCTGTTTCTCCTCCTTTTTCTCGCCCTCTCGCTTGCTCTGCGTACCCTCCCCCTCTCCCTCCCCCTCCTCCCCTTTTCCCACCTCCGCCTCCTCCACCGCCTCTTGCTTCACCTGTTTCCTCCTCAGCCCCTCCTCCTCTGCCTCTCCCTCATCATCCCCATCACCGACTCCTTGGGTCCTCTTCCTCCCATCGCCATGCCCCGCCACCGCCCTGCCCGCTGCCTCGCCTCCCTCCTCCTTCACCCCTAGAGCCTGCCCCACCTGCTCTTCCTCCGCTTTCCCCCTTTCCCCTCTTACCTTTCCCTCCGCCTCCTCCGCCTCTTCCGCCTTCCCCCCGCCATCTCCGCGCTCACCGCTGTCCAGCGGGCGGAGCAGCATGTAGAAGCGCTGCACTTCATCCACGCTATGCGCCTCCTCGCGATTCACTCTAGGGCGGTAGAAGAAGAAAATATCGCCTCGGTCCTGAAAGATTCCCAGTCATCCAAGCAAAAAACAAAAAAGGCCTACCACAGGTAAGCGTCCTAGAAAGAAGCGCGAAAATCGGAGGGCGCCATGATGATGCTCTTGGAGCGGCGCGAACAGCGTTGACCGCACTGGAACCCATAGATACGTCGCGAACTCACCAGGACGCGATAGGGCTTGTGCGTGTCAGCCATGGTCGGAGGTTGAGACGGATAGACGGCAAGGATAGACGGATAGACGGCAAGGATCGAGGTGCGCTATATCGAGGACCACACGGTCGGCCGGCGCGCAAGCAGTAGCCGCGGCCCTTGTCTCGCACACGATTAAGCCTACTGTCACAAGGGATGATCTCCCAACTCGCAGATCGCGCTTCATGTCGAATCGTAGCGTGTGTGGCCTTAGTGAGTAGTCAGCAATCGTAGTGCAGTTTCCGTGCGCCATGTGGTCCCGACAACTGGATGGGGGGGAATGCCTAAGCTGGGCTGCATGGTTTGAAGTGAAGGTGACCAACAGGTAGGGATTCCAATTATACGGCATTGTGAGTAATTCGCTTGGGATTCATGCATAACAGCAGGTCAATGAAATGTTTATTTTGCAGTTTCGACACTTCATTGATTCTCCGTGGTTTTCAGCCTCGTCTGACCTGGACAGCTTGTCATTTTACGCGGCTCAAACACTTTGTTTGACGCTGGCAATTCTGGTACAGTCACGTCCGCCCAAGGTTTTCACTGTAGTCGCCCTGCCCAACTCGCCGATCTCTAGGTCGAACTCGAAACGAACCAAACTCGAGGTGCAGTGGGGCAATCCCAAGGCCGATGTGCGTGTTCCGTGCCGATCTGCGCACGCACCGCCCAACCAAACCGTGCTGCTCGCCCCTGCTCGTCTCCCTCCCTCCCTCTGCTCACCTCACTTGCTTCCCTTCCCTCCCTTGACGTTTGTCCCTTCCATGTCCCACTGCTGTTCTTCCGTTTCGTGCCTCAAGCCACCATTTCCCCGCGTTTCACGTCAGGCGTCGACGGATAATATTTTCGCGTTTCACAAGCGAGCGGTTTCGGGATTAGAATAATTTACTATCTTAGGCCTCTCGCGACGCATGGGTTCGTATGCACAGCGTTCACTCGCATTTTTTAAATCGGTGCCAAGTCGGTTGTGAAGCAGAGGATGTCAGGAACGCTGATTGGTCAGGAGCTGGAGCCTGCTCTGCTCGTAGACGTTGAGCTGCACTCGCCGCGCGATCCGGAGCTTCATCCGAGTCAGCATGCGCATCAGCAGCAGTTGGGCGGGAAGATGGAGTACAATTACCTCCAGGCACGTTTCGCAGAGCTGAGCCTTGAAGTATTTTCAATTAAGGAGGATAATGGAGTTGCGATACGCGTCGTCGTCCTTATTGACGGTTCTTGTTACGGCGCCATTCCGGCTCGATTCCGCTTTAGAGTTTCCTGGTGCATGCTTCGAAGATTGGCTGTAACCTGTAATAGAAGCTTCCGCATTGCCATGGACGCATCAACAGCAGCACTTCTAACCCGATCTCGGTGCTGGATTAGAGTTTCGATTAGGGTCACACGCGACTCGGCGACTTCGTTTGTACTGCGACGTGGTAGCCTGAACAAGCGGTTTGCCTTGTTCTTCATCGTGCTTCAGTAGCCTCGCTAGCGCTCCCCGCTGATACATAGCTGCCAGGGGAATATGACGGCTTAAGGTTACTGATTTAGGACCTAATGCCCAAGTCTTCTAAGGCTTTATAGATTCGTGCTCCAAGCGGTCACTGATTTGCGGTTTTACCTCTTCAACTACATTGTTTTACGGTTTAAGTGGGCGACTAGTACAAAGTTTTCGTTGATACGCATCGATATGGACTGCCTCTATTGGTTCCCCACACCAACATGGTGTTCTCTCAAGCACCTAGATCCCTCTCTCTCCCCAACCACATACAAAATATCCGCGTATTGTTTTTCGTTTCCCGAGCAAAAATTAATATCCCTACGGTTACCCCGCTCACGTGCAATCCGCGCGTGCCTGTGTGCGCATGTGGTGCTGGTGGGTGCGCGCAGCGGGTGAAGGTGTACCGCCTGAACGACGACGGCAAGTGGGACGACAAGGGCACGGGCCACGTGTCCGTCGAGTATCTCGAGGTGAGGCCCGAGAACAAGGCACGGGGAAAGGCGAGAACGCAGCAGAGTCGCCTACCTGATCTGCCATTTATTCCGCAGAAATCGCACGCTGCTGCCTAGCCCAGCGTTCTAATACTCGCTCTCGTCTCCCCCCTCCTCGTACCCGTGGCTGTCGGGGCTATGCGTGGCTGGTGCGGCTATGTGTGCGCGGGTGGGATGGCGTGGCACGGTGGCAGCGGTCGGACGCGATAGGGCTGGTGGTGATCGACGAGGAGGACAACGCCACGCTGCTCGTGCACCGCATCTCCACCGACGACATTTACCAGCGCCAGGAAGGTACCCACCGCCGGGGAGGTACACCCAGGGGAGGTAAACCGAGGGGAGGTAGCGCCTGCGGGGGAAGGCCTAAGAGAGGTTGCGCTGGGGGAAAGTAGGCCTAGGGAAGGTAGCGCCAAGGGAGGTGGACCTAGGGGAGATAGCTCCAGGGAAGATCGCCCCACTTGGGAAGGTAGTGCTAGGGAAGATGGCTCTAGAGGAAGGTAGTCCTTGATAAGGGCAGCAGGCAGGCCCCTGGTGACCACATAATGTCTCACAAATACCGCGCTGCTGCCGATTGCCCTCCCCGAACCATCTGCTTACCAGAATTCTTCTCCACAATCCCCACTGCCCGCAAACCATGATCCGGCGCGGCCCTCCCCCAACCCCTCCCCCAAACCCTCCCCGCTCCCCCCTCCCCAACCGCCCAGACACGATCATCTCGTGGACGGACCCCGAGGTGGCCACTGACCTGGCGCTCAGCTTCCAGGAGAGCATGGGCTGTGCTTATATCTGGTGAGCCGCATATGTTGTACGTGTATGTGTTAAGATACTTGCACACCATTCAGCTAACACCGCGCAAACCCTGTGGTCAGCCATGGTGTGTTTGACATCAACGCCCGCCCCCTCACCAGATTGTTTTTGCACATTCTGGAAAACCAAGTGATTGTATCAATCGCCTCCCTCAGACTCTCCTTCTTCCGCCCTCATCCCTCCTTTCTCCCACTGGGTTCCTGCTTCTCTGCGTTTCCCTTCCCCTCTGTGCCCACTGCCTGCTCACTGGGTGCCTTGGGGCGGCAGGGATCAAATCTGCAACGTGCAGCGCCAGATCCAGCTGCCGTCCATCCTGGGTAAGCCAGCCAGTGTGTCATGTGCCCCTCGTGCCTGCTCCTCACAGCAGCGGAACTGGGCTTGCCGCACCCTCACAGCCCTCGTCCTCTTGCATTACTTCAAATTCTTGCAATTTTTTATCCACCTCTTCCTCCCCCTCCCTTCACCACCCCCCTCTCCCTACCCCTTCACCTCTCCTCCCCCCATCCCCTTCTCACCTTCTCCTTGTCCCCCTCCCCCTAACCTCTCTCTTCCCCCCCTCCCCCCACCCCCGACATCGCCATGCAGCAACGGAGGTGGCCAAGGAGTCATCGGAGCTGCCAGCAGTGGAGGCCCGCACACTGCCAGCCATCGCCAAGGTCTCCTCTCCTCGCACTCACACACACCTCGCACACGCTGCCACCCGTCTGCAGCAGCACGCTCCTCGTTTCACTCCTCTTCGCCAATGCCCTCCCTTCTTCATCCGTCTCCTCCCCACGCCCTTTCTCCTCCCTGCCGCCACCATCACCCTCCTGTTACCCCTCACCTCACCTCTTCTCTCTTTTTTGTCAGCCTCTTCTCACCTGTCTTCCCTCCCCCTCTCCCCTCCCCACACTCCCCTCTCATCCCCATCCTCCCTCCGGTGCAGCTAGTGACGGACGTGTCACCCTTCCACCGGGACCGAATGGCGTCTCTCATCCTCCGCGAGGTAATCCGCTCGCCCCCCGCCCTCCCGCCCTCCATCTCCCCTTCTTCCATCCCCCCCTTCATTCCGCCGTGTCTCCTTTCAATCCTCCAGCCTTCTTTTCTCCACCGGTCCGCCCTGCATACCACCATCCCCTCCACCCATTTCTTTGATTTTCCGTGTTTCTCTTCCTCCCCACCCCATCATTCCACTGTCCCAACTCTTACTCCTCTCCAAGCGTCCGTACCCCCCTCTCCATTCCTCTTTCCCCTTCCTCCACCACTCACTCGTCTACTCTACCCCCCCTTCTTACCCCTCAACCCCCTCCCCCCGCATCCCACTCATCAGGGCTACGTGCAGCGGCTGGTGGCGCTGTTCAGGGCGAGTGAGGGAGCTCACGACACCCCTGCGCTGCACCACCTCTACCGCATCTTCAAGGGCCTCGGTGCGCCGCCCCTGCCCTGCCCTGCTGCTCAGTCTGCTGCCCTTTGCTCTGCTGCCCTAGTGTATTGCATTGTCTTTGTGGGCTGTACCATTCCATCCTCCCTCGGTTCCCTCTCCGTCCCCTCAGGCTGCCTATTTCCAGCTTCTCCCTTCCCTTTTCCCTCCTCATTTTCCTCCCCCATCTTCCTCCTGCCCCCCCAACAGTGCTGCTGAACGACTCCCAGCTGTTGGAGCAGCTCTTTGCACCCGATGCCATCATGGACGTCATTGGCGCGCTTGAGTGTGAGTCACCATGCCCACATGTCATGTCACAGCTGCCAACATGGCCACGTACCATGCCACATGCTCCCCCCACCGCCTCCCACATGCCTCACTTGCCCCGTGCACCTCATGTGTGCCTCTGATCTCCTCTTGCCCCACCTCATCTCTCCCACCTCCCCCTCCTGTTCTCCCCTCACCGCTCTGCACCCCGTTGTCGCCACCCCTTCCCACCCCCTTACTCCCCCCCCCCCCGTGCCCGTCCATGCAGACGACCCGGACGTGCCACGCAGGCAGCAGCACCGGCAGAGCGTGCAGCAGCAGGCGGTGTACCGCGAGGCCCTGCCCATCCCCAACCCTAACCTGCTCGCCAAGATCCACCAGACGTACCGCCTTGGGTACATCAAGGTGCGCCCTTGGGAACATCAAAGGTGCGACATATGGTGTGCTCTGCTCGTCAAGGTCAACCTGGTCAACACAGTCAACGCGGCCACAGTCAACACATGGGTTGTGGGGTTTGAGAGAGTGGGGAAGTCAATGCGGTGCGGAGAGGGAGTCCCGTAGCATTGGCTGAGTCGCGTCAAAGCAGTCAGAGCTTGTGTCGTTTCTCTGCCTCTTTGCCCACGGGCTGCCATGCCCTGCTGTCACAGGATGTGATTCTACCGAGGGCCCTTGACGACCAGACGTTCAGCAGCATCAACTCGCTCATTCTCTTCAATAACGTCGAGGTGCAACCCTCCTTCCTCCCTCCTTCATTTTCCCTCTCCTTCGTTTTGTCTATATAGCCCGCGCACTCTCCTTTCCACCCACCAGAGCTTCACGCATCCTCCTGCCCTACTCCACCACACCACATCCCTCTCCACTCCCGTTGTCCATCTCGCCACCTCTTCTTGCCCTTCTCCATCCGCAACGCTCATCAGGTGGTGACGACTCTCCACGGCAACAAGCCATTCCTGGCGGACCTCTTTGCGCGCCTGCGCGCCACTGACCCCCACTCGCCGCAATTCACCGACCTCGTGAGTCCTCCTCTCCTCCACCTTGTTGCCTTGCTCGTCTACTCCACTCCGCTCGACGTCTACCCTTGACCTGGAATTCACACACTGACCGCTTCCCTTCTGTGCGCAATCAGTCAGTCCCTCTTGCCCTCCCCCCTCCCTCCCGCTCCCTTCCCCCCTTCCTCCCCCTGCCAGGTGCGCTTTCTGCAGGAGTTCTGCTCGCTGCACAAGCACCTACAACTCGCCCAACGCACCTCCTTCTTCAGGTGCCCACAATCACTCTCACAGAATGTGTCACCACAGCGCGCGCTGCACTGCATCCCACCCACCACACCCAACCACACCGCACCACAGCTCTTTGTACGCAGCTAGGATGCCCTCCTCTCTACCTGCTAGACTACACCCGTAACCCTGCTTCACAGCACTTACTCCCTCCTCTCTCTCTCACGACCACCGCTCCCAACCGCCTGGGTGCAGTGCGCTGATAGCGCAGGGGCTGTTTGACGTCTGCACGCTGGTCATGCAGCACCCTCCTTCCCACCACCCCACTCCCTGCTTCATTCTGCTGCTCATCACTGATTCCCTCTCTGCTCTCCCCCCCCATCCATTGGTGTGCAGTGCGCTGATAGCGCAGGGGCTGTTTGACGTCTGCACGCTCGTCATGCAGCACCCGCTGCACTCCGTGCGCCTCTCCGGGTGAGACGTGTCAGCCTTACCCTCCCCATTCGCCTCTTGCCCCCAATGCCATTGTCTCAACTCTCGATGGGCCCATTTTTCAATGCGCATGTGGCTCACTCACTCACTCTGTTCCTGCATTCCTCCTCATCTCCCTCATCATTCCCTTCTGGTAACTTCGTCCTTCCCCCCCCACCCCCCCCACCCCACCCCATCCCACACGCACACCACAGGATCGACATACTCATGTCGCTCATGGTACCTGACCCCGCCCCTCTGCGCACTTTCCTTGTGGAGCAGCCCAACCATGCCCTGCTCTCCTGTCTGGTATGACACCCCTTACTCACGCCCTCCTCCCCTGCCTCGTATGATACCCCTCCTCGTTCTTAATGTGTGACCAGCGACACAAGCACCCTGGTGCTTTATCCCATGGGTTCTGAACGTACTCATCAACTGATGTGGTGTTCCGCTGGGCAAACCCTTGCTCTCTCCCATCCCACGTGTGCACCTACATTGCACTGTGGTGTGGTGGGAGCAGGTGCGCGGCATGGTGGCATGCAGGCAGGCGGAAGAAGGGCTGCACGCACAGCTGCTGGAGATGCTGCGAGTGCTGCTGGACCCTGATACCATGGACGCGGTGAGGCACAATATACTGCATGTGTTAGTGTTGTGCATGCTGGGTTCAGGGATGCATGCAGCAGCGGTGGTACAGTGCAGCACAGCTGCTGGAGATGCTGAGGGTGCTGCTGGACCCCGATACCATGGACGCGGTGAGGCCCTTAGAGCATTCAGCATTACTGGGTGTGGTAGTACTGTGTGTGCTGCTGCATGCTGGGTGCTTGGGTGCAGCAGCGGTACAGTGCAGTGCAGGTGCTGGAGATGCTGAGGGTGCTGCTGGACCCTGATACCATGGACGCGGTGAGGCTCATTGCAGTGCAACGGTTGTTGCTGGTTGTGGTGCTATTGTGTGCCGCATGCTGGGTACATGGATGCAGCAGTGGTATGCCTCATTCAGAAAGTGATGTCCACGGAGCGCACCCGTCATTCACAGCACACAGCACATGCATGCGTGCATGCACTGGTACGCTGAATGAGCCAATTCATGCTCTCTTCTCGTCTCTTCTCTCCATCTCTCTCTCCCACTTCCCCTGCCAGGCCGACAAGAGCAAATTTCTGGACCTCTTTTACGAGGACTACCTTCAGCTGCTCATCTCAGCCGTTGTTGCCGGCGCGAACACATCTCAGCCATCCACATGCCCCCCTGCTGCCCGAGATTTAACCGGGCTTACGAAGAAAAGGCGGGCGGCACAGGGGAGAGCAGATGGGGTGGGGAGCAGAAGAGCAGGTGGAGAAGCTGGGAGGGGAGCAGGAGGCAAGGTTGGTGCATCAGAAGCAGCAGAGAGGGGTGGAGCAGAAGGACGGGAAGCAGAGAGAGGGGGAGCGAGGGGAACCGGAGAGCTGGGGGGTGCAGAGGGCGAGGAGAGGCGGGGCGGAGAGGAGGGTGGTGGAGGGGGGATCCAGGAGCCCCCTTCACCGGACGTGCTGACGAGCATCTGTGACCTGCTGTGCTTCTGCGTGCAACACCACAGCTTCCGCATGAAGTGCGCACACTCTGCCCCTCCCACCATCCCTCTTGTAATTCTTTTCCTGTGGTGGGGAAGCTGCCGCAACCCCCTTTTCCCCCGTTTCCCTTTTCAAGCACTCAGACGCCCCTTCTCTGTCCCCACTTCCCCCCCACTCCCCTTCCCTCCCCCGCCCGGCGCTACGTTTAACAGCTTGGTGGAGAAGGTGCTGCGATCCCTTTCCACACTTGTTTCCATGCGACTACTCAAACACCCCCAACCCCCCAACCCCCCTTCCCCCTCAACCCTTTCCCCTCCCTCCTCCCTCCAGGTACTACGTGTTGCGCAACAGCGTGGCGGAGAAGGTGCTGCGGTTGACACAGCGGCGGGAGAAGTATCTTTCCGTCGCCGCCATCCGCTTCCTGCGCTGCTGTGTCGCGCTCAAGGTGAGTGTGAGTGGCGCCCAAGGTGAGTGGCGCCCAAGGTGAGTGGCGCCCAAGGTGAGTGGCGCCCAAGGTGAGTGGCGCCCAAGGTGAGTGGCGCCCAAGGTGAGTGGCGCCCAAGGTGAGTGGCGCCCAAGGTGAGTGGCGCCCAAGGTGAGTGGCGCCCAAGGTGAGTGGCGCCCAAGGTGAGTGGCGCCCGAGGTGAGTGGCGCCCAAGGTGAGTGGCGCCCAAGGTGAGTGGCGCCCAAGGTGAGTGGCGCCCAAGGTGAGTGGCGCCCAAGGTGAGTGGCGCCCGAGGTGAGTGGCGCCCAAGGTGAGTGGCGCCCGAGGTGAGTGGCGCCCAAGGTGAGTGGCGCCCAAGGTGAGTGGCGCCCAAGGTGAGTGGCGCCCAAGGTGAGTGGCGCCCAAGGTGAGTGGCGCCCAAGGTGAGTGGCGCCCAAGGTGAGTGGCGCCCAAGGTGAGTGGCGCCCAAGGTGAGTGGCGCCCAAGGTGAGTGGCGCCCAAGGTGAGTGGCGCCCAAGGTGAGTGGCGCCCAAGGTGAGTGGCGCCCAAGGTGAGTGGCGCCCAAGGTATGCCTGGGATATCTTGCCACCTCGTCACATCTCTCAGCATCACATGGCAGTTGATGGCATCAGATGGCATCATCTTGCATCTCATTTCGTATCATGCACACCCGTCCTTTCCCCGCCCTCCCTTCCTCCCAGTATGCATCACCTCACCCCACCATGCGTCACCCCTCTCCACCGCACAGGACGACTTCTACGTGCGCTACCTGGTGAAGAACCGCCTGCTGGACCCGGTGATGGCGGCCTTCCGTGCCAACGGGGCGCGCTACAACCTCCTCAACTCCGCCGTGCTTGAACTCATTGACTTCGTCAGGAAGGTGCGGATACAGCATGTGGCTTACAGCGGGGAATGGGGAAGGGCGAAGAGGGTGAGGGGTGGGTACAAAGGAAGATGCAACATTCCAAGACTTCTCACGTATTGACGTGCCACACCACTGCCTCTCACAGTTTCACCGACTCCTACTCCTGCCATGTCACATGCACTGTGTGCATGAAATGCACCCCGCAGGAGAACGTGAGGCCGCTGGTGGCGTACATAGTGGAGTCGTACGGCTCGTGGCTTGACTGCATTGACTACGTTGACTCCTTCAAGCTCCTCCGACTCAAATACGAACAGGTGAGAGGGATGGCACACACACGGGCATGCAGGTGGGCTGAGAGGTGGCAAATGTTGTAGAGATTGGTTCAAAGCGGGTGTCTTGAGTGTGTGAGGGATGCAATGCGCTGGAAAGGCCAGCAACATCGTGACATTAATGGCTCTTTTTTAACATTCTAACATTGCTGCCCAGGTATTTGACATGTTTTGCTGAGATGCCCCCTATTGCTCCCCTCATTGCTCTCCCCATCACGCTCCCGACTGCTGTCTCCATCTCTGCCCCCATTTCTTTCCCCATCGGGCCCCTTCCCCCCTCCACAGAACCTCGAGTCCAACAGACCAGCTGTGCCTCCGCCAGTCGTCATCCTCCCCCCTTCCACGTCCTCCCACCACCACCATACTCACCAGCACCACCATCACCACCCGCACCAGCACCACCATCACCACCCGCACCAGCACCACCATCAGCAGCACCAGCATCCGCCCTCCTCTCCGCCCGCATCTCCTCCCCTTCCCTCTGTCGCTGAAGCCGCCGCTGCTGCTACTGCTGCTGCAGGCGCGGAAAGACATGATAGTGACGCTGCTATTGATGCTGTCCATACGCATGCGCGTGACAGTGTTGACACTGACACTGCTCCTCTTAGTGATGGGGATGCTGCTGCTGATGCGGATGATAGTACTAACAATGATGCTGATGCTGATGCTGATGCTGATGATGACGATGGTGAGGAGGAGGAGGAAGAGGAGGATGAGGATGAGGAGGGGGAGGAGGAGGCGGAAGATGAGGGAGGTAGTGGTGATGAAACTAACGATGTCGATGCTAATGGCGGTGAAACCAAAGACGCTGATGCTAACAATAGGAACACTCAGAGGCACCCAAACCTCTCTGGTTCGGCTGCAGGTTCGGCACTAGGTGTTGTGCCGGTGATGGGAGGGGAATGGGATGGGGGTGACGGAGGAGGGGAAGGAGTGGAGGTGGAGGGTGGAAGGGGGAGAGGGAGGGGGAGAGGGAGAGGGAGAAGGCAGAGAGGCGGTCGAGAGGGGGAGGCGGATCCACAGGACAACACTTTTCAACAAGATGGCAGGTGGGGATTGCGAGGATAGGGATTTTTGGTATTTCTGAAAATCGGGAGGTGTGGAATTTGCTCTTGTACTGTGCATTCCCCTTTCCCTGTGCTCATTCCTCACCATCGCAATCACTCTTCCGTTGTCTGCTGTCGCCCACATGCCTTTCTGCCCCCCGGTCTCCCTGCTGCTGCCATGCCCACCACCGCCAGTGATGAGGATGGTGACAACCCCGAGTCTGCACCAGCAACGGTTCCAGGAACCCACTCCCCCCCTCTCCACCTCTCCCACCCGTCCCACCCGCCCCTCCCCCTGCCCTCCCTCCACCACCCCCCTCGCCTCCACCCGCACCGCCTGTCCCCGCACCAATCCCTCTCCCCGACTGCCCGCCGGCCGTTCTCTCGCTCGCCCTCTCCCCCTCTCGGGCGGCCGTCTTTGTCTCCATCCGCCCGCCCGTTGTCTCCATCTGCCCGTCGCTGCATGTCACGGTCGCCGTCGCCGCCCGCACCACTGCCGCCATCGCCACCTCTCAACGGCACCATCTGCACCGAGTCTCGCAGGTGGGCTGTTGAGGCTGATCTAGTGGTACAGGAATGCAGATACACTGTTGCAGAAACGGATCATGTTGCACCCCATGTGCTTGCCGTCATGTTTCAAATGCTCCCTTCCAGCCTGTAAATTCACTTGCATCACCTTAGACTCCCATTACGGCCTGCTTTCTTTTTTGCCTCCCATTCCTCGCTTGCTCCCTTTCCCGATCTTGCCCTTCCCGGTGCAGGAAGCGGCCGCGTGGGTGCGTGGACTCAAGTGCAGCGCAGGCAGACTCCAGGGCGGACGGGATGGGGGAGAGTGGCCGTGAACAGGGAGGGGAAGGCGGCGGGGTGCCAGAAGGGACAAGCACGGACAGGGCGGCAGAGGGAGGGGAGCCGGGGGCAAGTGGTAGAAAGCGCAGATCTATCGAGGGGAGGGGTGGGAGTGAGGGTGACAAAGCAGGAGTGGGGAAAAGGCAGGGGAGGAGGCAATTGAGTGTGGAGGTGGGGGAAGGGGACGGGGAGGGCGTTGGGGAGGAGCAAGTGGACCATGGGGGTGATAGTCCTAAGGGCGGCGGTCCCAAGGGCAGCAAAGGCGGCAGTCCCAAGGGCGGCAGTCCCAAGGGCGGCAGTCCCAAGGGCGGCAGTCCCAAGGGCGGCAGTCCCAAGGGCGGCAGTCCCAAGGGCGGCAGTCCCAAGGGCGGGAGTCCCAAGGGCGGGAGTCCCAAGGGCGCCAGTCCCAAAAGCGGCAGTCCGAAGGGCGACCAGAGGATGGGAGGTGTGAGGAGTGTTGGGGATGCAGGCAAGAAGGCACTGAGCATGAGAAAACGGTTCCTGCAGGTGCGCACACAGGATAACGCCACTGAGGCACCGCTGGGGGAGGTGGTACCTGGGGGAGGGGCAGCCAAGGGAAGGGGAGGGGCGCTGGGAAGGGAGGAGCCGACTCTTGGTGTGTGCTCCCCTCGCCCTGTGCTCTGTGACCCGTGGCGGAGTGCGAGGGGGAAGGGGCGAGAGAGGGCAGGAAGTGCGGAGGGGGATGAGGGAGATGGTGGGGATGGTGGTGATGATGGTGAGTGGGCTGTTAGGCTGGCCATGGCAGAGGAGGAGGAGGAGAGGCGGCAGGCAGACGTGGGAGGTGGAGCGGAGGGGGTTGATGCGGGTGATGGGGGTGATGGGGATGATAACAAGGGTGGAGGGAATGACGGAACGAGGGGAGGTGAATGTGTGGAGGGTGAGTGTGCCGGCAGTGAGGCAGCTGGAAGATGTGGGGTCAGTGATGCTTGTGGGAAGGGTGGTAGTAGGGATGCAGACGAGGGAAAGGAGGGCATGCTGGATGATGCTGGGATGGGAGAGCAGGAGCAGGAGGCACACGGGGAGGAAGCAGGCAGTGGTGTTATGAGTAGAGCAGATGAGTCAGATGCGGCAGAGGCACGGACAGCAGCGCCGGGAGGTGCACAAAATGCAGCAAGATCAGTGGTAGAGGCGTTGCGGTAGCGAGCGTGCTGGAAGCAGCACAGCACAGGATTATCTGGGGCTGTTTTGTCGCAGCCCCGGCAGAGGCATGGCACATCACATCAAGTGTCCCTTCACGCGCAATGCAGCTGAGCTGATGCTGCAAGGCGTGTCGTTGCAGCATGCACCACCCAGGGTGGGTGTGCTGGGTTGGTTCATGGGATAAAATGGAGTTTGTATCTTCTAGTGGCTCTTCTTGTTACATGGATCCTGAGCTTCGGCTCAACTTCTCAAAACCTGCTCCGATAAAGTTAATACAAGGCTTACACAGGCATCCAATACAAGGCTTACACAGGTCAAAAACATGGCTGCTAAAAAGATTCCCTTCCAAGCGGCCCGTCTCCATTCCTTGACTGCAGTGTAGGCCCACCAATCACAATCCACCATGTCTACCAGTCATGGTCCACCAGTTGCAGCATGGCAGCAGCATGCGGCCCTCTCAGCCACGCCACCAGATCCGGTCCAAACGCAGTCAGCCGCCCCACATGCTGCTGTCCCCGCCCCCCCACCCCCAAGGGCAGTCCCAGCCGCCCCACCTCCTGCATCACCGCCTGCCGCACCCGCCCCTCCCCCTGCGTGGCCCCTTTTTTCCCCCCCCACCTGCTATGCCCCCCTTGCCCTGTGACCACCACCACATGGTGTGGCGCCACCACCACTCCCGGCGCCCCTCTCCTCCTCGCTCCTCCCCCTCCCCCTGTCACTCTCACCAGCACTCGCTGCCATGCCGCTGCCGGCGCTAGTTGCACCAGTAGCTCCGGCCCTCCTCCCTCTACCTCTCCCTCTGCCCCTGCCTCTGCCACTTTCCCTGCATCTGCCTCACCGCTCTGGACTGATCCCTCTCCCCTGTGGCTTGTCCCGTCTCTATGGTGGCGGGTCTCGCTCCTATTCCACTGCTCCGAACCATCGCTGCCAGCAGCAGCGCCCACTTGCCGCCGTGCCGTATCAGTGCAGAGCACGACACGCTGCAGCTTCACCAGCCATTGGTTCAGCGCCACTGCCGCCCCTCCGTACGACAGCCGCCGCACGTCCAGCTGCCATGTGTCACCACCTAAGTGGACCAGCTCGGTCGCACCACCCCCTCCACTGTGTCGGGTTGTTGTCATCGCCTCTCCAGCACCCTTTCGGCCTGCCACCTCCTTCTCTTCACCCCCAGGGGCCGCATCACCCATGCTCCTCTCACTACCTGGGCTGCTGCTGCTGCCGCTGCTGCTGCTGTCTAAGCTCTCACTGCTACTCGTGCTGAAACTTCTCCTTATGCTGCTGCTGGTGCTGTTTCTTTTGCTGTCGCTGTGGCCTCTCCCCACCCACCCAGTGTTGCCCCTCTCCCTGTTCATCTGTGTGTCTCCTGAGCTCTCCCCAAGCCCCTGCATCAGCCCAGCCTGCAGGGCAGCAGACAGGACAAGCGCTGCCCTCCGGTGCCGCCCAAACGTCCAAAGGCAGTCTGTGAGAGTGGCAGCTAGCACCTCATGAGCGCGCATGGAGAGAGAGTGAGAGTTGGAGTGAGGGACGGAGAGAGTGGGAGGAGGAAGGGAGGAGGAAGAAGAGGGAAGTGATGGTGACGGTAGGGAGAAGAGGAGGTGGGCGAGATTATGCACCTGGGGAACACAGGGAGGCATGGGCAGGAGGGGGATGGAACACAGTTAGCATTGGAGGAGCGAGGGATAGGGTTGCAAAAGAGAAACACGGGGGGAAAGCGATGACCAAGCTGGTGCAACAACAATAGGGCAGGAGAGGAAGTAACGGGGGGAGAGACGAGGAAGGCAAGGCAGACACGCTGTGAACCATAACTCTACCTATACACACCTGAGCATCAAATAGGCCATCTTCCAGGATCAGGCGAGCACATGCCTCCCCCACGCCCCCTTCGCTCTCCACCTCCCCCAGAAACCACCTCAACACCCTCCCCGCCTCCTCCTTTCTCTCGCTGCAACACCCCGCTACACCTGCCAGCACGCTCGTCACCAGCGCCACGTCAGCACGCTGCTGACACGCCGCCACATCAGCGAGTACCGACTCAATGAGATCCGGGCGGTTGCGGGCGGCACAGGAGGAGACGAGGGTAGCAAAGGTGAAGTGGTTGGGAGGGATGGAGAGGGATCGCATCTCTCTGTACACGTCCCACACCTCTGCACTCCTCCCCGCCGCTGCATATGCTGCCATGAGTGTGGTGTATGTCACAGTGTTGGGCCGCACACTGGGCCACGGGAACCGGGCTTTGCGCTTCGGAGGGTTCTCAGCTTCGAACTGCTGTTGGTATTGGTGCTGCTGATGCTGTTGGTGGTGGTATGGATGCTGTTGTTGCTGCATGCCGAAATCACCTGCTTTCTTTGCATCTCTCACTTCCTCCGCTCGCTCTCCCTCCTCGTACTCTTCATCTCCATCCCAAAACCCTTCTTCCCCAGTCCCATCGCTCTCGCTTCCCTCCTCCTCCTCCTCCTCCTCACCCCACCCACCATCCCCCCCCATCCCTATCTCTCCTCCTCCTTCCCCTAACCGCTCTCCACCCATCATGACTCCTCCGTCCCCCTGCATGAGTCCCAGCACGCCTTCAGCAGCATCTGCATCCCCTTTGATCGCATACCCATGCATCAACGCATTCCATGTCCGCACATTCGGCTGCACTGCAGCCATTCGCACCCCCTCTCCATCCCACCCATCTCCCCCATACCCCCCATTCCTTCCCCTCATCCTCCCCCCACCCCCCACCGCCCCCAGCAGCAGCTCCTCCGCCTCCTCCACCCGCCCAGCCTGCCCCAGCCCCCACACATACGTCGTCAGCAGGGCGGCATTCATCGGCAGCTTGTGCGCGGCCCGCACATGTTCCAGGAGCGAGAGGGCGGCATCAGGGTCGGCGTGGGAGAAATGCATGTGAGCGATCATGTTGACTGCTGCCTGTGTGGGCGGCACTCCCCTCCTCTCCATGTCCCTCAGCAATCTCCGCGCCTCTTTCACTTGCCCCCCATTCACACACGCGCGTATCAGACTGCTATAAGCTGATGCGCTGAGAGTGTGGGTCCGCGAAGGGGGGTGCTTGCTGCTGCTACCTGCCCCATGAGCAGTTGCAGCATGAGCCGGGTTTTCTTCTGCCATGTCAAGATGCGTCCTGTCCGCGTCAGCATGTGCACTGTCCACGTCAGTATGTGCGCTGTCCACGTCAGCATGTGCTCTATCCATGGCAGCATGAGTGAGGCGCACCAATCGCAGCAGGTCAAACAAGTCCCTGCCATCTCTTGCCATGGCTCGCAGCATCAAATCCAAAGACTCTGAATCTGGACACGGCAGGCGGGGGCAAGGCACCAAGTCACCACCACGCATCCCTGATGATGCACCCAAATCCACGGGAGGGCCTGCTGCCTGTGGACTACCCATGAGAAAGTGCACCCATGGATCGTACCCCGCTTCCCCCCTGCTCTCTCTCCCCTGCTCTCCCCCTTTTGTTCTGGCCTCTAGTGCAGCTTGGGCTGTGGTGTGCAGGGTGGGATGGAGGGAGGAAGGGGGGAGGAGGGAGAGGGAGAAGAGGTGCTGTGCGTGGTGGTGCAGGCCCGCTGCTAGGAGCGATTGCAGGAGCAGGTGGAGGGAGGAGGGAGTGAGGGGAGGGGGGGAGGGTGATGGTGCTGACAGGGCAGGCGATGAGCTTTGTGGTGGTGGTGGCGATTGGGATGCTGATGGGGATGCTGATGGGGATAGTGACGTCAAATTTGATGGTGATGCGGTGAAAAGGGAGGAGGAGGAGGAGGAGGAGGAGGAGGAGGAGGAGGGTTGGGATGGGGATACAGGGGGAGAGAGGAGGACAGGGCGGATGAGAGCAGACAGGGATGCAGGGCCGAGGGGGTAGTGGTGGGGAGTGGAGTCGGATAGGAGAGTGAGGGAGAGGGGTGGGGCGGAGGGAGAGAGGAGGGCGGAGGAGTGGATTGCCTCCAATAAGGCCACCTGATGGGGGGGGCGATGTGGGTGAGCAGAGGGGGGGGGAAGAGCAGGGGGAGAGGGTGAAGGGAAAAGAGTGAGTAGGATAAAGTGAGAAACGTGGGTGGAGGTGAGAGAGAGTGGGCGGAGAGGCAAGAAAAGCAATAGCGACGCGACAGTAAGAGGTGCAAGAAAAACGAGATGCGTGAGTGGGTGGGAAGGGTAGCACATACAGACAGGATGGAGGGCCGCACGGATGAAGATGAACGGCAGGATCCAAAGAGCTGTGGAGCATCCAACGGCTGTGAGAGGTCCAGATGCTGCAAGGCGGATCCGAGCAGACCTTCAAGCACCCCTTGCGCTGGCGATGGCAATGATGATGATGATGCTGATGATGATGATACTGATGCTGGTGATAATGATTCTGATGCTGGTGATGAGGCTACCGATGATGGAGCTTGCATCTCTGGCGATGGCAGGGCTTCTCCAGACACTGGTGATGGCACTGGCACCATCTGTTTAGGCGGTTGGGAGGAGAAGGCAAGCACGGAAGGCCAGTGGTGGACGGGACTGCTGCCCTCAAGTGGATGTTCTGTTGATGTGGACGGGTGGTGATGCATGGTGGAGTGCGGTACTATGCGAGCTAGAACGGCCTCAAGTGTGCCGCTGGCTGTAGTTCGGATGTCACCACTGCTGCTACTCGCGCTGCTGATGTCACTACTGCTGCTGGAGCAGCCATCCCCATGCCAGGTGGCAGCCACGAGCCCATCCACGTCATCCACCACCACCACTCGTATGTCAGACAGCAGTGCTGCCACGTCAGGGTTTAGAGTCTGCTCTTGCTGCTGCATCGCGCTTTGCTGGAGTTCCTCCTCCTGCAGCGATGCATCACCAGCTGCCCGAACGTCCCCTGCACCACCAGCTGCACCCCTCGCCTGCGTTCGCACCACTGCTGCAGTCTCCGGCAACATGCCATCAGATGATCCCTGCACACGAGGATATTCCACAGCAGGCGACTCTTCAAGGGGACATACAGGAGCAGGCGGAGCAGTGTGGGCGGGCAGTGAGTCAAGGAGGGCCAAGAGCTGCTCGGGAGTCAGCACCACAACACCCCCCCACCTCCACCCTCTCCCGCTCCCTGCAACCCCTGCCCACTCCGCCCCGCAACCCCTCCCCCTATCGCCTCACCACCGCCCTTCTCAATGCCTTCCGCCTCCTGACCGCTTCCAGCGCCCCCATCCATTCCCCCTCGTCTCCCGTCCTCCTCCCCTCTCCCCCCACCTCCCCTCGCCCCCCTCAGCGCGACCTGCAGTCCGAGTAGGCGGTCAGGGGAACAGAGCACGAGCACAGAGGGGGGGGGAGCTGTGGAAAGCACGGTTGGAGGGGAAGGCGTGGGCTCGTTGCTAATACCTCCGAGCATTGAGGATGCGCCCTGCCTGTAACAATCGCCTTCTAGAGCCTCTCCTGACCCTCGCTCTAGCCCCCTGTCCCTGCTGCTGCTCCCCTCCCTGCGGCTCCCCTCCCCGCTGCTTCTTTCCGTGTTTATCCCCCGTCCGCTGCCCCTTTCTCTGCTGCTCTCCCTGCTCCCCCCTCTGCTGCGGCTGCTGCTGCGGCTGCTCCTGCAGATGACGCTGCTGCTGCCACCTGTCGTGTACGGATTGGCTGCGTACGACGCCAGCATCGACGCCAGCTGGCACAGGGGATCAAGGCAATGCCGTGAGACCAGCGTGAGGGAAGATCAGCAAAAATGAGCAACAATTAGTGAGAAACAGAAGGATCACACGGAGAGAAAGAGACCAAAACAGAGACATATTGATGTGAAGGAGGTGGAGAAAGGAAAGGACAAGCAGCAGAAACGATCACGGGCGCTCACCACAATCCCGACAGCCGTTCCCGAGCCTGACTGGGCACGGATGAACGCATGGCGGTTGCCCGCTGGTGGGTGGGGTAGCATGGGATGGGATGGGGAGATGACCAGGCGAATATCAGGTGGCAATCAAGCAACAAGAAGAGGATCAGTCAGTAATAGAAGGTGGTAATCGGTTGGACCAGACTGAGGCAGCAGCAGTAGCCGCAACTCCTCACAACATAGGCTTTAATCCACAAGCAATAGAGAAGCTGGACGGGTCATGCGTGTGATGAATGCAGTGAGGGCAAGGCGTACCGCGCAGGAGGTCGAGCAGGGAGTAGAGGTTGTGTGCTGCTCTGCGTGCACGCCTGTGCGCCCGAGATGTCGCTGCTGCTGCTCTCCCTGCTTCTGATGCCACCATTGTCGTTGCTGCTGCTGCTGCTGCTGCTGCCGCTTCTCTTGTTTCTTTTGCCGCTGTTGCTTCTGTTGCTGCTTCTGTTACTGCGGCTGCTGATGATGACACCTCGTTTGCTGCAGCTGCTTCTGACGCTTCTGCTGCCGCTGCCACTGCTTCCGCTCCAGAAGCATCCTCAGCAGTAGTCCCGCAACCCGCGATTTCACATATCTCACCCGCGTCGCTCGTCTCCGCCACATGTGCCTGAATCTGCTGCCATCCGTTACCCCTGCCCACAGACGACCACGCCCGACAGCCGCTAGCCCTCGCCACACATAACGCTAACGGTCCGGCTGCGCTGCGCGCTTTGCCTTGTGCGGCGACGCTGGAACGCGGCACGTGGCTCTTTGCGCTGCTGCCAGGTGGCAGGGTGGGGAAACCGCTGGAAAATTGAAGGCTCGAGACGGGAATCGCCGCGGACAAGGGGGTACCGCGACGCCCGAAGAGGCTCCCTGCGCGCACCGGGATAGACACCCGCTGTGGATCTCGAGGCAGTGCTATCGGCCAGAGAGTTAATATGGATATCCCGTGCCTCGCAGACGGCACACCTGCGGATGGGTGTGAGGAGCGGAAGCAGCTGAGTCCGCTAGTCGACCGCGGTGTACAATTGGCCCTTGCTACCGTCCGTGTGACACGCGTCAGGTTACCAGCAGGGGCGTGCGAAGATGGTGGTAACAGCAGTATCTGCTCCGTTGTCGCTGCATCTCGCCGTGCAGCGGCAGACGCGGATTGGCAGCGCGATGGGAACGATCGAGCGGTGAGGGAGTTGGCATCTCTCCAGCACGTCTGTATCACCTTTCGCCTCGCCATCTCGAATCACGAAATACAAACCGCTAAGGAGGCAGGGACATTCTCGGCTGCAGCAGTGCATAAATGGTAGCTTCACAACGCGGAGACGGAAAGGCACTATCTAGAAGAGAAGCGAGTCCAACACGACATGTGGAGAAGATCCGAGGGAGGGACGTGTGTGCAATCAGCAGAATTTGGAGCCTCAGCAGAATTTGGAGAGCTTTCGTTGGAAGCTTCTACTCCATCCCTCGAAGTACTTATTATCCTCGCTTGTGTCAAAGCTTCATTAATGATTGTAGCCCGTGCAGTTTCAGTATATCTTCCCTACAAAAATCGTGGCACTTCGTTCAATATGCAGATGATAATATATCTTTTTGTAGACGATTTCAAAGTACACTCGAATCTGCAGTAAGCATTATCTGAGTAAAAGTGAAGACACTCCGTGAACGCGGTCGCCAAATTTCTCCCCTAGGTCGAGAACACGACGAAATGTTTTGTCTCTTGAAACCGTATAATTGTCGTTTCCGACCACTGACGGATAGGTGTGCGGAAACTGGCAGGAGAGGAGAGGACGTGCACGTGGTGTGTGAGTATGATGAAGGTTCTGGTGAAGCAAGTGCCACTTACCGTAGTAACACCCCTAGGGTCTGGTCAAACATTTTCATGCATCCTATTTCCGAAAGCACACGAGCACGTGATGGAGAGGCAGCGTGCCTCGCGTGACAAAGTGCGCAAGAAAAATGTCGCAGCATGTGCACCTGCCCACAAATGCCAAGCCAATCAACCAAGCAGCTGCCACCTCCACCCTGGAGCAGCAGCTGCCTCACCCCCACCTCGTAAGGGCGGCCTAGTGGGATCTCTAGTGGTGGACATCACGAGAGACATACAGCACAAAATCGTATGTTGTGTGAAGGCATGAAGGTAAGATCGACAATTGTTCCGAAACGACAGTTGTTCCAGGAAAAAAAACTCACAACGCCGCAATTGCTTTCTCTTCGTCTCCCGCTCACAGCCACAACACACCGAGTATCTTCAGCTGGCTTGTAACCTATACAATGGAAGGCCCGAGTGAAGTCGGCGCACATCTCGCTCCACCTTCCTCGTCTTCCCTTTCAACCTTCCGGCGCCCTCCTATTTTTGAGAATCTCCATCTTGACGTTCCGCAGTCCCCTCCTCGCTCCTCATCCAGCGGCGCCGTCCCTCCACGCTTCAGCACTCCCAGGTCCAGCCGCTGGACGGCACTCCCAGCACTCCCACACTGCGGCAGTGGCGACATTTGTAACCAGGGACGGCGCGTTTCGCGCGAATGGCGTCCAGCGGCCGTTTCCGCGGTTCGCAGCCCAAGCGCGGCGCTCGTGTCGCATCTAGCCGTCGCATCGGCAGATATGGATCGCGTGTGGATCGAAGACGAGAGCCCATCGAACGTGTTTCAGCCTACCGGCCGCGATTATTCCGAGCCGCGGTGGTTCTGGGCGGCGAACAAAGCAAGGCGAGAGGCGAGGCGGTCGTCGTCCGATTCAGAGCGTCCTGTTGCCGTCCGTGATCCTGTCCTCGTCCCTGACAGCAGTAGCGTTGGCAGCAGCAGCAGCGTGCGATCGCCTGCATTGGGGAGTTGTCGCAGCAGCAAGCTTCAAGCTTTTTCGCAGGGTTATGTTACCACATCGCGGAAAAGGTTTTGGCTCAAATTCGAGTTTAAGTCTGAAGGTTGCAGGAAAGTTGCAGAAACGTTGCAGAAAGTATCCGAAAAGCTCTGAGTGAAAAATGGAACATGCACCAATTTCGGATACATGTGGCTTCCGAGCCGCGCATGTTGGATACGTGGGGTACCCGAGGCGCGAATTGTGGATACGTGGGTTACCCGAGCCGCGAATTTATTGCATCATTTTCGAATCATCTTCACCGAACAGCACACCTGGTCACGACCAAATCTCTTGAGTCCCCCGTGCTGGTGTACGATTGAGGAACACTGCAGCCCGAATCAGGTAGGCATTGTCGAACGTTGCGAGCACAGTAACTGGGATACAAAATAAAACGAGGCTCGCGAAAAAACAAGCCAGAATCGTAACTGGCAGCTGGCATACAGTTCCATGTCACACCCAAAGTGTTCAGATTCTGTGCAAGTGACGTGGCTTCTCCGAACCACAGGTAACCGGAATTGAGCTATCCTCACGATTTTTTAATGACCAATTACTGGTGTGGTCTAACCTAAACCAGAAATCTACGGCATCCGTGACGACACATCATCACACATTGGAGCTCTAGAAGCATCACACTACGAGTGTATCTCTCCCTAAACCGCTAGTTGCCCAGCTGATGTTCACACATCTTGCTCAGGTTATTGTTCCATTTCGACCCACCTCGTGTCTCTGCCGTCCCCTCAGCAAGCGTATACCGTAGAACGTACGTCTTACGTTGTGTATCTAATAAACTAGTGTATGAAGTATCAATCCTTCAACATCTGCCCAGATCTACCGTCTCATCCTTTCATTTCTTTACCCTTTTTTTCTACCTCCCGTCCCATATACAGCTCGTCGCCTTGCTCAACTCACTCGGAAGACGTTCTGCGCGCGAATCGCCGCGGACTCAGCACCCGTCAACCTACGGACGCAGCGACGAAAAGCTCGTTGCCCGGCTGCGGAAGCGCCTTGTTCGGCGCGGAAAGCGCCGGTGTGTGTACTAAACACGTTCAGCTGCATACTGAAATTTGTAAGCATACTGAATCATGTGACGCCCATCACTCCTGTTCTTATCCTCACTCTTTCATTTCTTCTCACGTTTTAGGCTTCTTCTCTTCTCGATTTGGTTCATTTCTTCCCATAATGAATGCAGATCTATTTCCTCCCATTTCAAATTGCACGCCTGTGCCACCTTTAACAGGTTCGTTGTTGTTTTCCTGTGCAGCCTCCCACTACACAAATCGTCTCTACGCTCTCTGCATGAGAGAGAAGGTGTGGTAGTCGCGCGAAGGTCTCTCTCTGCCTCTGATAAGAACCATGCGCGTTTTTAACCCATGTTGTCTGGAATGTAGGCTTTAACGATAACGTTTTCATGTTTGTTGTTCTTAGTCATCGTGTTTCAGGTTTAATATTCATGTGCAGGGTTAATGGAAGTCACGAGATGTTAATTTTCATATGCAGGGGGGTATCAAGATCCAGGCCCTGTGAAGCACATTGACGGCAATATTATCTATCTACGTCAAGGCCCTGGGTGATAAGTCACTAAGGTGGGGAACAAGCATATGACTAACCAAGGTCTAACATTATGTCGTCTTTGTGTTTGCAGGCTTTAAAACGAAGCATGATTTCGCCCTGTGTGACTACATGTAGAA